CTCGAAAAAAATCAGGTAATCCATAATTTGCTTCCTTCTTTCTCAAGTTTTGAGATCCATTAAATAAATTTGCTCCTCAAAACCTGAAATAGAAGAAGCAATTTATTGATTATCTGGTTTTTTTTGAGATAAGGTTGTAAAATAGACGGTATGGGACGTAGTTTGCCATGATCTTGTCGGATAGACAGCAAAGTGCTGTGTCGAGTCAACTAGCTAGGAAAAATTGGTTTGCCGGCCATTTCGCTCCTTGAATGTTCCAAACTGCGCCCTTGCCTAGGTGATCTACCCAAAATCTCACTCGTCAATTGACCCTGCAAAATGAGTGGTCAATGCATCCCATGGTGTGGTGCTGTCAGCCTCGGCAACGTTCCTTCCTGTGTGTGTCGCTGCATGTCGCTCCTCAGTTACCTGAACTGCACCCCCTAGGTGCACCACCGGCCCATCAGACGTTTTGCCAGCTGGTCCAGTCCTCATGAAGATAAGACAACCTGTCGTCGCGCCTTTGGTTGCAGCCGATCAAGCTGTGTGTACTCGCCCTCACATGATGGCTTTCTCCCTCACAGTTAATCCGTCGGCCACACATTCAACAGGCCGATTGCTTGATTCTCGGTTCGATGAGGCTGTCGATTAACTTAAAGTGCGAGTGGTGAGGTGATGAAGCGCGATTCTCAGAGAGACGAGTCGTCCCTCGTGGCCTTTCTTGCCTTTGTTTAATTTGGCACAGGCTAATAGAAGACGTTGAAATTCAATTAGAGAGCGATGAGAGGGCGGCCATCGGCGGCTGGCGAACACGTAATTGGAATGAAAGTATGGGTCGCGAACAATCACGTTTTCGCACATTGCGTGACGAACTTTCATTTCGTTTCTTCTCACGATGGTTACTACGATGGTGTCGATCTTATGTTTCGGGAAGTTGGGCTTTTGATTGCTTTCCTGGGCAGCCTGGTTTTGAGGACCCGAGAGATGAGGGATCGAGGGCGCAGTTCGGTGGTGGGAGGGCATTTTGCACTTTCGCTGCTTCACAAGTCTCGCTCTGCTGGAACCTGTGAATTCTTGTGAAGCTGGAGCAAGCTCTTCGCGCCCATGTTAAAACGTGTTCACTCTTGTAAGCTCACGAAAGGCTCTCTACATGAGTCGACACGTCGATGAGAGGTAGGAAAAGTGCAAAATGCACCCCCCCCCCCTTCTCTACCCGTCGCCGAACTCACCCAAATCGAGTAATGTTCCTCCCATTAAAGTGGAATCACTGAATTATGCACTGATCTCGGCTATACACATAGATAAGCCTCATGCTACGAGTTGATGAGCTGATTAGGAATGCGCGAAAGGTAAGAGCGAGAGGAGGAAGATGTGTAGTGTGGTCGAGGACGGCAAGATTGCAGGGTGAGATAATGCGAAGAACGCGTTGATGCCTAAGTGGACATGGGAACCAGGCAAGGGACGAATTCATTGCCAGCCTACGCCAAGGTGCCCGCGAAAGAGCCATCTGGCTAGTGGTTTCTGATGAATTACTCCAGCTGGTGGGAGCCAGTTAGTAAAATGTCATACATTACTGACTAAGCTCTTTGAATGAGCCGTTGTGGGAGAATCTGAGGGCAATTGGGCTAATGTAAGAAGGGCTAGGATTGGCTTGACGAGCAAAATGGATTACCTAAGAGTTACCTGATGGCTCAAAGATTTCAGCACTAGTGCAAAAGTACTGAAGTTTCCCCAGTTGTTCCCATTGGTATGGCCTTTGCCTACCAACGGATATCGAGCTCGGTGATCTGGACAGGGCCTGTCTGCCTAGGCGCCAGATGAAGCGGCAGATAGCTTTTACCGGCGCTCTTCGGCTTAGGAGGAGCATTTTGTACGTTTACCAGCTCGTTTTCCTTGTTCATTTTGCCTCACAAGTCCCATTTTGGTGAGACCTGTAAACTCATGTAAGGCTGCGAAATGGTGCGAGTGCGACATTGGTAACAGGAATTCATAGTTCTTGACAAGGTGCCCTGTGCAGACAGGCTTTGTTGAGCACCATTTGGTCCCCCTCCCTCCCCCCCCCCCCCCCCACCCAAGCCGAACTGCG